TATGGGGAGCAGAGTTGTCTTCTACTTTGTTTACACTGTAACTTTTATAATGCTTAAGGAAATTTTTGGAGTTCCAGAATTCAGTTAAGCAAGGTAATTTTTTTTTCTTTGACATATTGCTTAAGGATAGCACAGCATTCTTTAATGAGATTAATATCTTTAAATGTTGCTTATTTCATCAGAAAACACTATACCTTCAAGGGTAAAGTATATTAAACATATTCTCAAAGGATTCTGTTATGTTTAAAAAATAGTTTACAGATAAATTGATTAATCAAACTAAGTAAAAATCCTTGGATGTTTCAGTTGGGAAGAGGGGTTTGAAAGAGTTTCATATCATTGTTCTTTTAAGTCATAGAATCATAGAATCACAGAATGTTCAGGGTTGGAAGGGATCTCTAGAGATCATCTAGTCCAGCCCTGCTGCCAGAGCAGGATCCCCTAGGGCAGCCACACAGGAACACATCCAAGCAGGTTTTGAAAGTCTCCAGAGAAGGAGACTCCACAACCTCTCTGGGCAGGCTGTGCCAGGGCTCTGTCACCCTCACAGTAAACAATTTTCTCCTCATGTTGAGGTGGAACTTCTTATGTTTCTATGTGATGTTCCTATGTGATGCGTGTGTCTATAGTAATCAGGATAAGACTGAAAAACTAGCTATATCTTGAGACAATTATCCTGAGGGGGAAAAGAAAGAAAACTCTGTATCTTCTCTGTGATGTTCCAACATTTTTTAATGCAGAAAGCTAAAACTTAAAAAAGTGTTCAGTAAATCCATATGAAATATACACAAATAGTGGATTATATCTATTATTTGTTTTCATCCATTTGTTCTTACACAGTCGTACTAATTTGTTTTAATACAAATATAAAATACGCATTAGAATCCCCAAAATGTAATTTGAAGATATGTAGAAAAAGTACATCAACATATCTGTATAGGTGTGTATACAGGTTCATATATAAAGATTAATGTATTGTAGTTTGAAATAGCATGTATGAAATCTAAATTTTTATATGGCTCTTGTAGGAAAATAAGCTCTTAAATCAGTTAAACTTAGCGACCCCTTTGGGAAGAAAGGATCACAGAATCACAGAAGGTACTATTATTCCTACTATATTACAGGGAGAGTGAAGCAGAGATTACAAATTGCACTAATGTGTCCTACATGCAATTAAGGAAAAATGTTGCCACCTGAATCTAAAATATAAGCCGTCAGATCTGAAACATACTGAAGGGACGTGTAAAAGATGTAGTGGAAGTTCAAAAAAAAAAAAAGTGAATCAATTTGGTTCAATGCAAAAAAACTCAAAAACAACCCAAAATTTAATTGGTTTAAGATGGACTAAAAGAAATTCATGAACATACAATGATCCACAGGGAGCTATTCAGTACAGTGGTCTCCTGTCCAAAATACCTCAAATACTGACTGCCAAACACTAGAAAGGTGCTCTAGTTAAAGAATGTACTTGCTGAGTTGCTTACATTCTTTCCTCAAGCATTTGGGTTGGCTGCTGTTGGAGACCAAATACTAGGTTAAGTGGAAGCTTCATCTGATTCGGCGTAATCATTTTCGTGTTAGATCTGCACGTGCCTGTCTTTTCACCATTAAAAACTCTGGTGTGACACAGACGAGCCTCATCCTTCTCAGACCTACGTTCTTCTCATGTACTTCCCTCTTTACTACTTTGAATTTCTCTGCTGTTGTCCGTTCCACTCAATTTCATCCATCTAATTTTTCTTGCTTTCCAAGCACATCCCTTCAAGATGCATTAAGGTCTGCTACAGAGAGAATACGCCAGAGAAATCAGAGTTGTTGGGACTTTTTTTCCCCCCATTTTCTTGCTGATTTCACTTCAGGGACGTGATATCAGGTGGAGGCAGATAGCCCAATGCACGAGAGTGTCTACAGATACTCTTTCAGAGTGGAGGAATATCCAGCAATATTTTTTCACAGACATCTTTCAATAATTTTCTTTTGGTTTTGATTTGCAAAATGAGAAATGGAGGTACTAAATGAGGCTAACATCTGCAGGAATAGACCCAGACAATAAGATTTTTAGCCACTTGGCAAACGACAATGATGCAGTTGATATTGGGCACAATTGTTATTATTAACTTTACTGTGTAGATTTAATTAAAGTATTATATGAAAAGGCTGTATAACATATACAGACTAAGATTTTAAAGTTTAACCAAGGCAATTAATTTTCTTAGGTATTTTGATGAATAGGTTCTTTCCCTGCTGATACTTCCACACAGACTTCAAAACTGGTCTACACAGGCCTTACAATTCAGATAAATTGTTGTCAGTTAATTTCTACAATATTGCACTCATTTTTTATATATTTTTTTTCATTCTGGAAAATAAAATCCAGCTACTACTCTGGTTTGTAGCAGTAGCTTTGTTTCGTAAAAGAAAAAATAATTTGTTCTGTTTGTTAGTGGTTAAAGAACCCACACGTATTCAAAATGAGTACTCTCCATAACTCCACATCTTTTAGTAAAAATACAGGGTGTTTTGTTTGTACCTCTTGAATTAAACCTCAAAATTGCTATTTGTAAAACTTGCAAAACCAGCTAGCTTTGTACCTTCAAAATGATGGGTCTATTAGTGGCAGAAGCATATATTTCTGCGTTTAATTTGGATGATGTAAAGCATACAGTAAAACTGAGGACAGTCAGTAATTCTGTGTAATAAATGTACAGGTCCTGTGAGCATCCGTACGACTCTCTGTGTAGCGTCACCAACACGTATATCGCCTTTTCCAGCGACCCTGTTACCAGGGCCTTTGAGACCCTCATGGTCTGAACAGTGGAGTAGGAGTATCAGATCAGCGGCAGGTTGTTCCTGTCCTTCGGGGTCAGCGTGTTCATTGTTCTCTTACAGTGCATGGGAAGCAATTCACACTTGTTTATCCTTTCAGGGAAAAAAGGTAACTCTATTGTGCAGAATAAAAACCTACCCTGTGGCAGGTGCTGCGTAGCGTCATTAGTATGGTAATTCGATGAAGCATTCCTTAGATGCATCCCACTAAGCAGAACTTTGTTTAATGTTTTAGTCTTAAAGTTTGTGTATGTATTTTCCATGTCTGAAACGACGTGGATTGCTTCCTGTGGAGTAAACCAGGTGATGATCCGTTGCTACAGTGGTAAGGCTGAGGTCTCTGGGTGTCACTGGACGAAGTCTAAACCAGAACTGTTGTCATCAAAATTAGGTCAATGCATTATAAAGCAGGTGTTAGACAGTACAAATCAGCTAATATACTTATTAATGTTTTATCTGTATGTGAACAAGCACTAGAAGAGTTAAAATCCTCTTTGCACCTACACTTTCTGACAGATTGACTATAATGAAGACTGGGGATCAGAAGTCCCAGTCTGTGTTGGTTGATCACCCCTATTTTGATCTCACTTTTGTTGATCACAAGTCTCATGTGCCCAGGCTCTTTCCAGTTTTCCGCATCTGCCTTAATCATAACTCCTCAGCTCTTTCATCCCAGACGCTCCCGATTCTCTCACCTCTTTTCCTTAATTTGTTTACCTGTCTGCTCTTGTACTATCTCTCTCAGTTTCTTAAACCCTCTACCGTGTTCCCCCATTTCAACCTGCACTTGTTTTTCTAGCTGGATCTCAATGTTCCTTTCTTGCTCCTTACTGAAGTCAGTGCAAGCTCTTCTAGTTCTGACTACTTGACCTTCTTTACAGATTCTTTTACCCACTACACCTCACTGATTTATGAATCTGTCTCCCTTGATGTCTAGTCTCTTTGTACCACTTCTTCTAGTTCTAGGTTCTTTATCTTCTCTCCAGTTACTTTTATCTACCTTAACTCACTGATTTACAATTTTTTTTCTATCTTGACCTGCTGTCCCTGTTCTCTCTGGAAATTCTTATTTCTAGTTACCTTTCCTACTCTTTCACTTGTAAATTTCTACCTCAGTCTTGGTTTCCTCCACTTTCCTTCTTGTCCCAGCATAATCCAGAGTGCAGGTGTGACTCATGCCTCATCTGCATTTGAAAAAGGCTGCCTGCATCCAGAAAAATCAGATTACTAGGAGCAAATACCAGAAAGTCTCTGTGCTTTTTTTGATGTGTGTGCCTGGCACAGTCCGTCACAGCCTAGAGGCACTCAGATTCAGCCAGGACATAGTCAATGCAGCTTAAAACAGAGATACGACAAGTCCCTCTTTAGGTAAAATAACATTTTTAGCATGCACATCTGCAGATAGACTGTGCTTTTATCAGAAAGCATATAACAGTATGTAATACTGTGCATAATACATTCTTTTCCTGCTTTAAGTTGGATATAGCATAAGCATTATTTAGAGAATATTGTGATACGATATCAAATAACATAATTTTGCTATAGGCCCTAATATTTAAAATGTTTGTTAAAAGCTGTTTCTTAAACCTTTCAATAATTTGATAATGCATCTCTTAATCTCCTTTTCCATAATAGTTATTACTGTCAAGAAACTCTGACTGGATTTTTTTCCCCTTGTTAAAGAGAAATTCAGTCTTTTACTTCAACAGCAGAATTGATGAGCTTTTTTTCTGCAATGAACCTCGGAAATTTTGACCCTAAATGTTTTCGGATTCTGTGTTTCTCAAAGCACTTTTATACCTTAGAAAATTAGTCTTATTTTCTCTCATGATTTATGGCTGTATAGTGCATCTATGTATGCAAAAGTATTGTCACTGAGGTTGTGACTAATTCTTTGCTTTTATTTAAAGGCTTCATCTTTGTAAAGAGGTGGAAGGAATAATTAGCTGTATACTATAAGATGAATTTTTATTTTAAAGAAATATGGGAGAGGAAATAATGTTAAAAAAACTCTTGAGAAAAAAATGCCAAATTAAAATATACACTCTGATTTTCTTTTTTTTCTTCTACTATAGAATCCATGGCAATAATAGGACTAAATTAGATTAACAGTCAGGTTATGAAAAGAGCCTATCAGTTATGTTTTCTACCTGTTCTTACACACCAGGAAGAAGATGAGACTCCTTTTATTTCTAATGATTTGCCAACGTGCCATAAACGGTGTCAAAACAAACAGTCCCTCAAATCCCAATATGATTTTACTGATGGCTGATGATCTTGGTATTGGAGACCTGGGATGTTACGGGAACCAAACCTTAAGGTATGATGTTACGTTTGAGGGAGTCATAGATTTATATTTCATTTTTCCTATGGATTTGTAATGTTAAAACCCCTGAAACATTTACAGATTTCATAAGGTGCTTTGTATGAAACCAAAGTTAATAACCTTTCCAGAGAATATAATATTTGATCTTTGTTTACTTTTCTTAATAAGAAGACTTATCTCATGTATTTATCCCACTGAAAAGTTGAATCATAAGCAGATAGTTTAGCAAGCAACCAAATAAGGGAACATCTAGAAAAGCCAACTATAATCAACAATTTTATTTTAAAATATACATGACGCAAATTTTATGAATTAAGCATATTTTGTAGCACTCGTGATTTAAAACAAGCCTGTCACTAACCAAGTGGAAATAAAGTGCTGATTTTGTTCCTTCCTTATCTTCATGCTGTAGTCAATAAATTAATTAAGACAAATGTTAATATACCTGAGTAATGCAGGAGTGTTCCCCAGTGTGATCCTTATTACCCGCTGAAGTGCGATGGTTGTGTAAATTGCATAGTTGTACCTAGTCATTGTGTTTCAGTGGTGCGAAGTCTTTGATCAAGTTATATAAAACATTCAGACTAAAAATACTGTCCTGTCGAATGTTAAATACTCTTTCTTCTGCTGAAGTTAGTTAGAAAAAAACCACTTCTCATAACTCAAAAACAACCTCAAACCTCAAGTTACAGCTTCTAGTTTTAAACAGGAAAAAGTATATACAACAAAAATGCTTGAATTGCTCCCTGCACAAAGTCCAGAACTGCTCCAAGATCTATGTTCTCTAGTGTGAGAATTCAGAATTAAGTCTTTGAAGTATGAAGAAATTTCATCATAGTGCTTGTTATCTGTATGTGATGTTATAGATAGCAAAGAAGTCTGTTGGAAAATTAATGTTTCTGACTTTTCAGACTTAGATGCTGGAAGCACTGCTGTGTTTTGAGTTATGGTCATTAATATCTCAGGTCAGAGACATATTAGAGCATGGTGCAGCTCCTAGACAGTCTACATTCCTACTTTTTTTTCTGCAGAATCAAGGGCACAGGATTTCTTCCTGCAGGAACCAATTTTCATCTACACCATGACCCAGGTCACAGACAAGTTGCCCATGGGACATATGGAAATTAGGATGTGCTCCTGGGTCTAATATTACTGACATAGTTATGTCAGACATATAAACATCATTAATATAGAACCTAACACAAGAGTCATAATGGTTTGAATATCCCCTAATAACTGATACCACCACACAGCAGTACTCCTACCACAGAAAACTTTCTGGGGAAAGACAGAAGTGATAGCAAGAAGGGAGTAGGAAAGCACAGCCTTTCCCAGTCTCTTCTCTCCCCATTGATGTAGCAGAAAGGCTGTGTAAGCTGTGAAGTTACAGTTCCAAAAAGGATTGCAATACAATACATCCAGGTGTCACAGTTTAATACTGAACATGGAGAGTAGATGAAAGTGAGCAAAAAGATTTTTGTCTCAATGCCACAGTGTCTCGGTTCAGCGTTGACACCTAATGTAAAAATTTTTGATACAACAGTATTTAGAATTGCAATACCACCAAGGTTTTTGCCTTGGATGCCTTGACCTCATCCTGTCCATTTCTGAATAAATGTCTTTGTGTATTTTTAATTTTTTCCCCTGCTTATGTTTTTCTAGAACCCCTAATATTGACAGACTAGCAGAGGAAGGAGTGACACTTACTCAGCATATAGCAGCATCCCCACTTTGTACTCCAAGCAGGGCAGCTTTCCTGACAGGGCGATATCCTATCCGATCAGGTAAATTCCCAGTATTTATATCTGAATATTGTATTTTGTTTGCAGTAAACTATGCATTTTTTTTGCTCTGGCCTTTTTAGTTATCTTTGTCATTGCCTGGTTGGATGCTTGTTTCAGTGACTAATCAAGCCCAGCAGAGTTTGTCAACTTGCATATATAGGGAAATGCCCACATTTCAGAAGAGTTAACACAAAAATAAATCTTTTTTTAGTGACAAAAAGATTTTTTTAAAACACTGAGGAAAAAATCTGTTTGTGTTTATTTAGTATAAGGAGGAGATGAATTCCATCTGCTTCCTCCACTGTATGAATGACCCTGGGCTCTTTCCTTGCCTCCCCAGTTGAATTCAGGCTGCTTCCAGGATGTCGGTGGGCAGCCTGAGTGTTGAACATCACAGAGATGCATCTAGAAAAATACAGTGGAAAAACCCTTTGTAAACCCTTCTGCTGAAACATTTCTGTTTCTAGAAAACCTTTTGGTTTAGACAAATGGTTATTTTTGTGGGGGAAGAGGGCAGCAGGAAGGACAGTTCATTAAGGTATTACAGCAGCTCTAAAAACTTGGAAGAAGAAAGCAAAAAAAATCCCTTCTTTCTAAGTATTTTTCTTTTCTAAGTATTTTTATTCTATAGCTACCCATACACAGTGTTAAGTATCCTATGAATACATGCATTTAGTAACTTTTCTTACTTTGAAAGTACCTGATCCAAAGCCCATTTGAGTCTGTGAAGATCCAGTCTGTTTATTTTAGTGTGCTGGGACTTAGCCCCTCAGTGCTTAGCCATGCAACTTTAACATTCCCTTAACATCATTTTTAGCAAGGATCATTATACATTAATCAGATCACTTGTTCATTAGTGATAAAACATCCTGTCCTTGCTTCTGGGAATGAAAGCAAAGCAAGACTCTGGAGCCTACTTGATACGTTCGTGCTCATTCAAATCAAGTAACAAGCTTCTGCAAAAGTGCCAGCTAATATAACTTGCTAAATTTTCCATTACATTCAGCTGCAAAAGAAAATTTTATATACCAGTTACAGCTATATCACTATTAATATTTACTGTAGGTAAAGCCACAGGTCACTTGCCATTACAGTCCTTGTTCTTACTTCTGAAAAATTAGCATTTGAACTGATCTTTTTCTTAACTCACCTGCTATCAGTTATACTTAATCATTTCCATGTAGGTGCAAAATTTGAACTTTGTCTTAATTAAATTACAAAATTGCTAAACATGGACTGTTTTCGAACATCAGTGAAGAACTAGGGAAGGATTATTACAGAGGACAGTAGAATCAGGATGTGGAAAAAAATAGTAGAAATTTAAAGCTCTGGCTAATACAGCTGAAGAAACATGCTCTAAAATGCAATATTTTCTGAGCCACAAACTGAAAGGTAATGATGAAAAAAGATTTAAAAATCATGGTTTTGTACTTTCATTTTTCTAATTTAAGGGAATTACACTGATTTCAGTTATAAGAGATTGAAGTACATCAGAGGGATATGAATAAATGTATAATAAATAAAGTATATATGTGTATAGATGACTAAAACTACCTAAACTGTTGATCAGTAAAGCTAGCTAGGTTGAAATACTGAAGTCAACATGTGAAAAATAAGTTGAGCACTCTTTAATAAACCTGTCTAATGAGTCTTTTTTCCATCTAACCACAAGAGATACTGAGGGAAGATTCTGGTTGCCTACATCAGTCATATAACTTTGGCACTGTAATCATGCAGTTGCATAATTCAGGCTTCCTGGAGATACATCTGCACAGATTTGCATAGATATTCTGTGTTCTATCTGTCGGTACTCAGAGGCAACTCTCATCTGGAATGCTAGTAATCTAACTTTCATGAATGTGAGCTCTCAAGTTCCTCATCCTGAGAGTAGTTCGTAAGCTCGAGTTTGTGTCCCTCAGACTCTTAGTGTATAGAAATCCCTGTGCTTTATTTAGATGTTGTCTTGTTAGATGCTGCAGCTTTAGTGCACTCTGTGTGCATTGAACTATGTGTCTTCATGCCATTGGAGCACTGGTCCTCTCCCATCAAAGCTGAGTGCCCTAGCCACTCTGTTTCCAGAATCGGACTCTCTCTTGCTCTTTTTTTTTACCTCATGATATTTACATGCCTGGCTTTAGACTGTCCAATTTCAGCTGCCTTCTCTCAAATAACCTTAAAGGCATTTCTACGCCTTAACAGAAAACCACATATGAGGAAAGTGGAAATTCTGAGAGTAGAACTTGGGAGTGATCTCACTTAGTCCTCAGCTCCAATCCTTCCCCATGTGCAAGAAAAATAAATTATGCAACTTGACTTTTTTAATATACATTACACCTTAGAACATCTGCAGAAGGGGCTGCAGCTGTTTATGTGATGTCTAGCTCCACAGTTATAAGAAGAGAATTTCTCCACTTCTCAGTTTGTATTGTCAATACAGAAAATATCTCACTCAGCCAAATAGATGATTGTATCTGCCATTTGCAGCATTTAGTATCTGATGTTAGTATGTCACTTAAGTGATAGCACCTGAAGCAAAAAAGTGCATGAAGAAGGAATGAATGGAAATTGTTTCACTATATTAATTAAGTCTTATTCACTTTCATCATATTTAGGAATGGCTGCCTTCTCTCGAGTTGGTGTCTTCTTATTTTCTGCCTCTTCTGGGGGACTTCCTTCTGAAGAAATAACTTTTTCCAGACTCCTGAAGCAGAGGGGTTATGCAACAGCTCTAATAGGTAAAATTACATACATACACAGAATTAGTTTTCATTCATTTCAATCAAAAGTACATTAACATGCCATTATTAAGGGTCTGCACTAAGCTTTTTTCCCCCACAGTATAATGAATTTATTTTTCTGGCACAAAGCCGAGCACATTCCTATGCATATGTGAAACACTAATAAGGTAAGTATGTCTAATTCACTTTTGTAGTTATAGTCTCATTGTACAAGGTACTCAAGAAACATGACAAACAAGTGGAAAATTCATAAAGCTCTTGAAAAGTTGTCCATATAAATAGGAGCTGGATTACAACAGTGAGACAGTTAAGGATCGATCACAGGGTACAAGTAAGCACAGTGGTGGAATTCATTTCATCAGTTTCCAAAAATCCATAAAGCAGATGTTGTATCTGGGCTAATTGTCTGGGTTCTCTTCTTAATTATCAGACAAAAATGGGCATTTCTAGGAAATTTATCTCATCCTGTGGTAGAAGTTTAGTATAAAAAAGTGTTTCTCTCTCATTTTAAAGATAGTCCAGACAACTAACTGCAGCATAAATATCCAGTGATGGGTAAAGGGAATCCCACTAGATGAATATTAAACAGAACTGAAGTGAAAATCATGAAGATGTAACATCTAAAAATGATTGTGGGGTTTTTTTTCCTAATTTGGCTACTGACTTATTCTACACTACTTATATTTTAGAAGAATGTATCTCCGTACTGGAATAGCCAGAAAATAATTGTTTAGAGAACATCGTACCGGAATGCTACTATATTAATTTAGACGATGGATGCACCTGATTTGATTTCTAGATGTAACAAAAGCTTGCAATTTTGTGAGTAATTTTTGCTTAAAAAATCAGGGTGTTTAGCAAGGCTAACAATTTACACCACTGTTCAAAAAATATCTGTATTATGTAGATAACCAATGTCAATGTTCCTAACTGAAACTCCTACTTAGATACACCCCAGTCTTAGAAAGTAAAAAATACTTTGATGTCCTGACAGATTCAAAACGCAAAACCAGAAAATCTTAGCAGAAGTAGTGGGGATGTATTTGAACCATAGTGCAAAAAAAAAATTCAAAATTTGTTGTGTTCACCTTGGAGTTAATTCCTATTGCTCCATAGTCAATTAAAGACTGCAAAAAAATCAGTTTTCTGTTTGTAACAAGCACTGTAATACAACTCATTTTCTAGGGCTGGCCTAGTTAATGTTCTTTTTTTAACTACTTTCACTGCAACATGACAGCTTGCCACTTAGATCTCCAAAAGTTATCTCCATGATGCTTAATGAACAATTCTTCCAAGTAGCCTGAATGATAGCTATGAAACCATAAGATGTAATATTACCATATCCTCAGAGTATAATGAAGGCTTCCAAAAATCAAGAAGTGCATTAAAATTAAGGATAAAGCATATGTAAATGACAAAAAGAAAAATTATGTAGATTTGAAGACTAGATAGGCAGACTCTGATTCCCAACTAGCCCATTTTCTGTCTCTGCTGGTATTCTTATCACATCATATTGGTCTAGGTCAGAGAGTCTTTGCTTGGGTTCACTCTAACTCAGCAGTTCCCAAACAATTAATTGTCAAATCCTGCACCAGTGATGGATTGGCATAAGGGTAATTTGAAGCCTTTCAGTTCCTCAAGCATGTACTGTCACTTCGAGTTTTTTTGGTGAAGTTTCTCTCTGCTTTACTCTCTAAGGACATTTTTTTCTTCCCTAAATGCATTTTAATTTTTTCCCTCCTCTGAATATATGCTTACTCTTGATGTATGTGCCCCTAAATATATTTTAGCTATAAGTCTACTTTATGTATACACTTTTTTACCCCATCATTTTTCCTATATGACACAAAAAAAGTGACATCCAATAGATCTGTCAAGAAGAGACACAGTCAGAAGATTGGCAACAAAACTAGATTTACTCAGAAAAGGCAGATGCATCGAATATGTAATATTTTACCACTTAAAGATCCTGGAGAGTAGCAATAAATGTTGATGTTTTGTAGAAAATAGCTATTCATAATGCAAAAAAATCCACTTAAAGTATGTCTGTCTTATTTTGACTACTACTGTGCTCAATTACAATTGAGTAAAGGTCAACTTTTCCTCACTGCTGTTATCCAGTGTGCTGTCTAGCATCCAGATAAGTTTAAAGTGCCCCTATGTATCTTATCTCCAAAGTTTAAAATGCTAACAGATAAACTGTGTCTTGTATCTTTCCTCTAGAATGAAGTGTTGTAAAATTTGGACACACAGTAGTGGTGTGTCCAATACAACATTGGCTGAGTTGATGGAGTAGGGTTAATAGAACAGTTATGAATAGAACAGCTTAATAGCTGACCATATTAATGATGCGTGTATATATTCTTTATGTTATTATTGCTATATACTTTGTATAAATATATTTCTTTGGCCACAAAATATGTTTCCATCTGCATCTTGCTCTGCATCTTGCCTCTTACCATCTATCTGAGGAGCACAAAATTGTACCAAAAGGTATCTATCATTATATACAACTCAGCTTTCATATTGCACCCTTTTCAACTGTCTGAGGGAAAAGTAGAAGGGAAACATGGATTTCTGCAGCCTTTCCAGCATTCTGGGTTCTGAAAACCTGAGTTCCAAATGAATTTTTTTGACTGAATAGGACTTGCCTCTCATTTCCACTTGTGTTTCATTGCTCTGAAAATTGCAGTTGAAAAAGAGAGAAAAAAGCTTAGGTGTCAAACTACTAAGCTACTCATAATTTGCAACTAGCAGGGTAAATTTCACTTAAAAGCTTGGCAAAATCTGCTTATGATGCTTGTGTGAAGTGTCCATCCTGTGAATCTTCACTTGGCAAAGAGATGAGAACATTTTGCACTGCTCTCAGATTCAGAAGACCCCCAGAGGCTAAAGCACGTTACAATAATCTGTTGAAGCAGTAGCTCGAGACAGAGGTTATTGACACAAGGAATGAAAGAAAACCTGTGTTGTAGACCCAGTCATCACTTGTTTTTTCAGTATAACAGAGGGCCTATCAAAACCATCTACCTCGTCAGCCGTTTGAGAATGGCAATTGTATCTTTCTGTCACAGCTGCCGACATAATTTGAACCAGTGCTTCTGTTGATTTTTCCAGCTAACCTGCTGTCTTTTTTGTTTGGCTTAAGTTGCTTCTGAACAAATCTCTTTTTTGAGGCCCAAGTTCATCTTGACATTGAACAATTTGTTGTGCTTGCTAAGACCCTTTCGATAAAAATAGATCCTATATTTTCCCCTGTCCTAATTTGTTGTTGTAAGATTCTTCTCTCCTAGTTTTATTGAGATCCAGTGGAAACAAATTTCTTTATGTCATAAAAAATGATGTTGAAAGTATATTTACTTTTTTGGGGTCTCTTTTTCAATATTTTTTTACTGAACTATGGGTGCTTTGAGAAAACAGAGAAAAAAAGAAATTAAACTCTCAGATCATTTGTAGTCGTGATACCTGTACCTTTATTTCAGTTATCTAACGTGATGAGAATTGTTTCATGCTCACCTTGCTACATATGTACCTTTAAGATTATTCCATAAAGACGGTCACATAAACCTAAAAGAAACCATTGAAGCGTTTAGTTAGAGCAGGTCCAGAGTAAGGTCACAAAGATGATCAGAGGGCTGAAGCACCTCCCCATGAGGTCAGACCGAAAGAGCTGGTGCTGTTCCGCCTGGAGAAGAGAAGGCTCCAGGGGGACCTTATAGCAGCCGCCTTCCAGTACCTGAAGGGGGCCAACAGGAAAGCTGGGGAGGGACTGTTTACAAGGGCGTGTAGTGATAGGATGAGAGGTAGCAGTTTCAAGTGGAAAGAGAGTAGATTTAGATGACATAGTAGGAAGAAATTTTTTGCAAAGACAATGCTGAAACACTGGAACAGGTTGCCTAGAGAAGAAGCCTCATCCCAGAGTTAGGTTGGACAGGGCTCTGAGCAACCTAATCTAATTAAAGATGTCCCTGCTCACTGCAGGGGGGTTGAACTAGATGACCTTTAAAAGTCCCTTCCAACCAAAAACATTCTGTGAGTCTAAGGTTCTACGATTTATTTTCCAGAATACATGTCCTTGTCTGCTGGAGTGAAATCCCTTTATGGCATCATTTTAACATCTAAAAATTCAGTACAGTGGTCCACATTGCTGCCTTTTTAATGAACTGTGATAACGTTCACTGAGGCGTGTCAAAAGCAGTGACAAGAGCCATTCTACTCACAGAAAGCAGAATACCACCTCAGGTGAGGGGCCATCTGACAGAAAGTGGGAAAGCTTCTGGTGAGATGAGAAAGCTTTAGAGGCCTCCATTTCACTGGCACATAAACAGACCTGAAAATACTTTTATACCTGCTTCAGTGATACACAGAACTATTTCTAACCCGAGGCCATCCAGAGATGTACAAGAAGAACCAGACTCAACTAGACATTCAGTTAGGCTCTAGACTCCTGTGGTATTTTTCTTCACCTTTGATAGTGGGGGAACATAGTCATATGGCTTCCTCACCCCATACCTTAGTTCTGCCGTTTGTGAAAGAGCAATAATTTAATCGAGCCTGTTTTCTAGGTACTATTTAAAAAAATTAGAACTGACCACTATCTTCACCCTCTTTGGTGCTGCAGTACCTGCATTTGTCATTGCCAAAGGCAGAAGTGCAGGATGAATATGCTGCTCTCTAGACACAGGAGATGCTCAGGGCTTCCTGTGTCAGGACTCTTCCTTAGAGATGTGTAAAAGCTGGGATGGTTCAGGAAAGGGGAATATTCTATTTATGCTTTTTTTCCTTTCAGGTACTTTCTACTGTGTGTATTCTGAAGTCTCTAGAACAAAATATTTCAGATTTCTCTCAGCTACGTTATGGGGTTGAGGAGTTACTGGTTTTGTGGAGCTGTTTTGTTTATTTCTTTTAAGACCACAACCTGGTCATATTTCGGTATTGGATTCATAAAAAATAAATAAAATAAAAAAATTTGTCCCGGCAATATATATTCTTATCTATTTTGTCAAGGGTGACACATTTTGTCAAGTAGTCGACACATATCCTTACTGACACCAAAGAGCATAACTCTATCCATAATTTATGTCAATAGGCATAACTGAATTTGAATTTGTTTTAATTATGTATTTGAATTTAAATAACAGCTACCGAACAGTTAGGTCTGTTGCGCTAAGTGATGCATAAGCATATGGCGAGGGGTTGTACCTTAGTCATAGAACGAATTATCTAGATACTTAGTGTAGTCATCATGAACATAGATTATGCTACTATAATGCAAATGATACTCATTGTTTACTTCTGTCAGTCAACATCCAACATTATTACAGAATTAGATTGATCTCCTAGTGAGACAAATGCTGTGAGCTATAGTATTTGGCAGTAATTTACTTGTTACTATTGTCTCTCTTTTTATTGATATATATAAATTAAAAAAAAAACCTCTGTCACTATATATATGTATACAGTGAAGGAGACTGGCAATTTCAGAGAAATTCACTATTCTTGATTTATTTCCTGTTAGTTACTGCATTCTTTTTTTTTTTTTTTTTAAATTAGTCAGATTTGCCAGAAAAAAAATCAGAAGAGATATTTTGTTACTCTTTGTTTTCCCTTCTGGAGAAAGCAGTAGCTGCTACAAACCCGTTTTTTCTTATGACTTCTTAACTACACATGCACAAAAACTTCATTTTCAAAGTTAACTGTCTGTTAGGGCTCTGTTGCTCTTCGGTGACCTGCTAGCCCACTCAGAATTTAATGGTCTCCATCAGGAGCTGTGCCAAACTGTTTGTAGCTTAAACGAAGAGGCAGACATGAAACAAAGTCTTCACTGAAGGCATAAAGAAAGATTAGACAGAAAATAGGGATCCACACAGTAAATGTTGAGGGCGGGGAGATATCAGTCAGATAGTGACAGTTTCATGTTTGCAATAGCACACATTATAAGTTTGATGGTTTAACTACAAAAATACTCCCTGTTCTTCTGTCTTTGTAGGAAAGTGGCATCTTGGGATGAGCTGTGAAAGCAGTAATGACTTCTGTCACCACCCCCTCAGTCATGGATTTGATTACTTTTATGGGCTTGTGGTCACTAATTTTAGAGACTGCAAACCTGGCCAAGGCAGCGTATTTTTAAAAGGGGTTCAGAAATCCCTTGTGATCCCAGTCCAAATCGCTGGAATCACGCTGGTCTCTTTGGCAATAGTGCAGTACATTGGCTTCCTCAAAGTACCTTTCCAAGCATTGGGTTACTGCTTGGTAATAACTGCTATTTTACTTGCACTTTTGATTTTTTTCTTTTATCATTTTCGACACTTGAACTGTTTCTTAATGAGGGACCATCAGATTATCCAGCAACCGCTGTCCTATGAGAACCTTACTCAGAGACTGACAAAGGAAGCTGTGCAGTTTATAGGAAGGTAAGTTTCTAACTGTTTATGCTGGCATTTCTCAGTGACAAAGCTTTTGAAAAAGCCGGAAAAGAAAGTGAATTGGTGGGCACAAGGAAAATGCCACTATATACATTATCATAATTTTTTTCCTTTAAAAGATGACTGAAAATCTTTTCAGTGAAAGTGACTATTTTTTTTTATCAGGTATGTCATTATTTTCTCTATAAAAATAAAACCTCTTTATGTCTACATGTTTCAGAAAAAAACATTTAAAAATCCAGCTTTTTTAATGGTGTTTCTTGAGAATTTCATGTAACTTCAAATATAAAAACTCTTGTGGTGTGACTTAATTATGTGAAAGCACAATGCAGAGTCATAATCCATGACTTCTGGAATGGGAAAGCTGTTCTTGATCATTAATTTGATGCATCCATTAAGTGACATTCATAAGTCAATTTTTCTAAGATACTGTCATTTTAGATGCCTCTGACTTTTATGCTAGATTCATTTTGAAAAGATTTGATTTGGAGAAGATAGAAAATAAATGTTATTTTGAAGGCAATGATTTTTTAAACAGCCATCACAGTGGGTCATGTAAATGTTGGATGCCATTCTTAATCTTTGCAAAATTAGCTGCTTTGGCATAATTGTCACCATAGAGCTTTTAATGGGATCAAATCCTAAAACTATGCATTTCTATCTTCGGAAATATAAAACAATATATTTGGAGGAAAAATATTTCATCTGCTTAACTTGAAAATACCGCAGGGTATTTTTCTTGAACCCTTTTGAAACAGGTTGCACCATTTCTAAAAATAGTTAATCAGAAGTAAAAACGTGTTCTACAACATAAGAGGTCCCTTAATTACTATTCTGAAAAGTATGTCCTAGATAGTTCCTGTGAATATATTCCCATGGTGTCATTGCTAAATGAAAACTTAGACCAAAGAGTCAGAGGCTAAGTTTTCTGGATTTTATGGCTGCATGCAGAAGTCATTAAGACTGTTAGCAAGAAAAATGTTTATCTAAAATTTTGATCTCTCACTGCAGTTTTTCTACTATAATATAGTATATTTTATCTACTATATATATTTCATTATAAATATTTGATGCAGCCATCTTTACTCATCATACCAAAATAAAATGGTTTTTATATAAAATTTCTTTAAGTGAGTAAGTCTTCCCAGCATTCAACATTCTTGTGAGCTTTTACAAATAAACATCTTCCTTTTGGCAATGGTGATATATATAAGGGTGCCTGCTCATCTAGTCTAACTAATTTAACAGTGAAATACTTTGTTTACTGCACACACACACACACAGACACACACAAACACATACTCTCCTTTGAAAATTGTTGAGAGGTTATTTGTTTCGTGACCAAGCATTTAGTGATTTTAAAAGACTCTTGAGTATATTAACTGTATGTTGGCAGATTCTTCTGCATTTTACAAGTATGTAATGTGCCTGTAGTGATTCATAACGTTTTGGGTATCTCTGAATATTTCATTGTTTTCAGTAGAATGACAATAAAATGATAGCCCCAAAACAGGTGAGTTCAAGATTGGAAATCAATGCTAGAAAACTCGTAACTCTTTTAACTTTATTAATATTCAGAATGTTCACAGTGTTATTGTACAGCTTAGACAGTGTTCAGAGCTGGTGAAACAATGTATTATCTAGGTCAGCATAGCTTTTTTGACTTAGCTAGAGGTAAGTGGCTTTACATCAGCTGGGCACTTGGCCCCAGTTCTCAGTGTAGTTTCCAGACAAAAATGATGCTAAATTGAAGTCAAGGTTAATAGCACATATTCGTAATTTACAATAAACTTTGTTACAGGAATGCTGCAATTATAGTGAAAATTATAACCCAGACAACTCAGAGTCAGTGTTAAATTAAAGGATATCCAAGCACATTAAGGTATTGAGAAGCAATTAAGGCATTTGGGCAGTCTTAATGTGCCCTGTAGTGAGTTCACATGCAAAGTATATGACCACAAAACTTACATCTGGGCATAGGATTAATTAGATTAATATTCGCTGAATTGATATATCGCAGATATTAATGCAGGCAACAAAATCAATATTTGCTTTGACACACTTGTTCTGACATTATGTATTTCATACGTGTCAACTGCAGTGTACCCGTAGACCATTGCTTTTATTACCAGTCTGCCAACTCCAGCCATTCGTAGGAGAATGGCTGTCAAGAGGCAACCAGGTTGCAGCTGCAGTCAGATGTCTGACACTCATAAGTGAAGGGCCGCCAGTTTTTTGGAAGCCACGGTGACTCCACAGCATTCTTGTCATTCCACTTCTTTCAGTGAGCAGTCTCCCTGAGCCCTCCTTTAGCTACACGTTTGACTCAAGACTTGATTTGTCATACAGACTTCTTTTGCTTAGATAATATAATAAATAGCAAGGTCTCTCCTGCACATCAGTAATCCTTGTGCACAAGTATACCAGAGTTCAGAGTCATTGGCTTTCACTGGTTTTTAATATGTATTTTACCATCAAACTAATAATCATCAGCTATCATCATGTTTTAATTCACTAATTATCTTTACAATAAATGTATGATCACAGAATCACAGAACCCTCAGTGTTGGAAGGAATATGTAGACATCATCTAGTCCAACTCCCCTTCTAAAGCAGGATTGCCTAGAGCACATCGTACAGGACTGCATCCAAATGGGTTTTGAAAGTCTCCAGAGGAGACACTAGAACCTCCCTGGGCAGCCTGTTCCAGTGCTCTGTCACTCTCATACTAAAGGAAGTTCTTCCTCATATTTAAATGAAACTTCTTTGTTCCATATTGTGCCCCTTGCCCTGTGTCCTGTCACTAGGCTCTACTGAGAAGAGTCAGACTCCATCCTTCTTTCAGCCACCTTTGGATATTTATAGACATTGATAAAGTGTCTTCTCTGGGCTATATAGTCCCAGCTCCCTCAACCTTTCCTCTTAAGAGAGATGCTTCAGTCCCCCAGTCATCTTTGTTCCCCTCTGCTGGACTATCTCCAGTAGTTTGCTGTCTCTCCAGGGATGAAGCTTCAGTCTTCTGGGTCAGAGAAGGTTTAGGTTGGATCTCAGGAAGCCCTTCCTCACGGAGAGGGTGCTCAGGCGCTGGGGGGCACTGCCCAGGGCAGTGGTGGAGTCACCGTCCCTGGAGGTGTTTAAGGAGAGGCTGGATGTGGCACTTAGTGCCCTGTTCTGGTCGATGTGGTGGTGTTGGGCCATAGGCTGGACTTGATGATCTCAGAGGTCTTTTCCAGCCTCAACAATTCTGTGATTCAACAGCACTGAATATTTGCCCCTTTATGCTATATTTATTTATAAAGTCTATCAGAATATATAAAGTTATATAACAATTACAACATAAATGTTTCTTCCATGTAAGTTTATTATACCTATTATCTATATTACCTTTATAATTTCCTCAGAGGTCAGGCAATGGTCTTCCAGCCATTCTCTTTTCTAGCTATTTCTCAGTCATATTGCTAGCTTTATGACTTCTTACCAGGTATGTAATCATTAGATTTTGTATTTTTTCAAGTCTTCTGAAAATTTCTTCGTAATATAGCTGTATACTGTTATACTTACTTTGATGTAGTTTTTTGAGAAGTGATACTGTATTTGTTCTTCCTTAGTTCAGGTATATGTTTTTATTTCTTCCTAGGTAGACTGAAAGAGAGAAAATAGAAGATTCAGTGCTCAGAAATGGCACTGGAAAGGAAAAGTGTCGGATACAGTATATGAAAACAAATACTAATTTAGTTGCTCACTGTAATTATAAGTGGGCAGGTCAGCTTAGTATATGTTAATTCTAATTTCTTTTTCCTAAGAGCAAATGTGTGTACTTATTGTAAATCCATCAGAACACTCTCTGAACATCATAGTATATTTGAAAGTCAAATAGATGCTAATTATTTCCTCTTAAGTTCAGTATGGTTGTCACTCATACATCTTCAGCACGTCCTTTAATGACCAGCTGCACAGAAAATCCAAATCTGGAAAATGCCAGAGACCAGCTTCTAACATATCACGAATTAACAACACAAAAGTACCCCTCCATGATACAGAATATCTCTCTGACAAATTCATATAGCTGTGATCACAATTAATAGTAATATTTTTTAAAAATTATTCCTAATGAAATCTGAATTCTGAACACAGTATTTACGTAAAAACTTGTTTATGTTCAAAAGCTGTGCTGAAGATGAAATTGAACAATTTTCCTGCAATTTTTTTTCAGTCGTAAATTGCATAGCCAGAATAATCAGACTTTTGAGATGACAGTTAATTTTTTTAAATTTTCTTTTATCTATTCTATTTCAGTCCTTGAAACCTCTGTAAATGAAATATTTAAGTTCTGCAGTGCATGACAGACCACATTGTAGATGAAACACTTCTAAAGAAAAATTGATATATAAAAGGGACTCCAGAGTTTTGTAGGGGAGAGCAATTTAGTAATGAGTATAATTTGCAGTAGGTGAGAAATTTCTTGGGTTTTTTTTCCCATGCTTACAAAAATGTATTTTTTGAAGAGGAGAAAAAAGGTTATATAGAAGGGAAATTAAAACATATATTAATCGTGTAGCATAATCATTTAAAGGAAGAAATAGGCATAAGCTAGAGTTGTCATAAGTATCTTGTTTATTTCCATGGAATTTCCATTTCACAAATGCATATGTGGTAGTAACACATCCTACTTCTATCTTCTAGAAAGAGTCAGATTTTCCATATTTTCAGGTTTTTTCCCCTTTTCTCATTGCATTTTCATCATCTTTTCTGATTTTGACAAGTTTTCTCCAAGTGGTCTGGAAATCTCTTCTGATTTTGAAAAAATGTGAAGAGATCTGTGTTTAAAAGAGTAAGACAGAAATTTTCATTCATGGATTCATTCATGCAAACAAACAGTTTAGCCCTGTTGTTGGTCAGAACAAAACAAAATCCAGTTTGTAGGACAAAGTCCTACTTTGATACAACTAAGCCAAGGTTTCCCTTTTCCTTCTGCAGGAGCAAGAGGGCTTGCTGAAGTCAGTTCACAAATCCCAGAATCACAGAATTGTTGAGGCTGGAAAAGCCCTCTGAGATCATCAAGTCCAGCCTATGACCCAACACCACCACATCGGCCAGAGCATGGCACTAAGTGCCATATCCAGCCTCTCCTTAAACACCTCCAGGGACGGTGACTCCACCACTGCCCTGGGCAGTGCATCCCAGTGCCTGAGCACCCTCTCCATGAGGAAGGGCTTCCTGAGATCCAACCTAAACCTCCCCTGACGAAGTTTCAGGCCGTGCCCTCTCGTCCTGTCACTGGTTGCCCGGGAGAAGAGCCCGACCCCCACCTGACTGCACCCTCCCTTCAGGCAGTTGTAGAGAGTGAGACGGTCCCCCCTGAGTCTCCTCTTCTCCAGGCTAAACACCCCCAGCTCCCTCGTTGCTCTCCTCACAGGACTTTCCCTCCAGTCCCTCTCTGCCAGGCCGCTCTCCAGCCCAGTCAGTAGCGCTGCAGGGGGTTATTTTGGCCAAAGTGTAGGACCGTGCACTTGATCTTATTGAACTTCATCCCATTGGCCTCAGCCCATCGACCCAGCCTGTCCAGGTCCCTCTGCAATGCCTTCCTACCCTCTAGCAGATCCACACTCCCCCCCAGATTGGTGTCATCTGCAAACTTATAAGGGTAGACTCAATCCCCTCATCCAGGTCATCAATAGGGATGTTGCCCAGTACTGAGCCCTGGGGGACACAACTGGTCACAGGATGCCAGCTGGATGCCAGTCCCATCACAAAGAGCACTAATTCGTGATCTAATCTAGAAGTACAGGAGTAAGCTACAGGGGATAAGAATTGCATTAGTTTATCCACTGGAGGGGATTTTGAATAAGAAGAATGTTTTTAGTAAAGAAAGAGTTAAAGGAAATGAAAAGTTAGGTTTGCATCTGCCAACAGACTTAATTATTTTTGCCAAAAGTATATCTTCAAATGATACACTTCCGTATTTTTGTTTTCTTTCTTCTTAACTGTGATTCTGGTGTGCTGTGACTACGTGAAAGTGGCATATTCATACACATCCAGTAAGTCTTATTAAATCATAGATAATTTTCCTCATAAAATGTAATATATTTTACCCCTGTATGTATTTCAAATAGTTTTTTGCAGGCTATATTGGTCTTATAGGTGAATTAGCTGGAATTTATATGAGCTTGGGGATTACAGAAACAATTGTTAACAATTTTAACACAGCACAGTGTTTGCCCATCTCAGGCAAAGCCAAGTATACCTGCTTTCACAGTCATCTGCTGTGAATCAAAATACCTTCACTGATATAGTAGATATAATGGTCTAAGAGGTTAAAAATGTGTACTTTATGACAAAATAGTTGTTCAGAAGGATTGTACTTGTACCTCATGTTAAGAGTTAATTTAGAATTTTATTGTGAAGAAGTAAAATGGATCACTGTCATGGAGTGTTCCCATCTCCTTTTCAGTACTGAATCATACTTGAAATCTCAGTTTGGTTTGACAGGTGCAGGCCAACAAATTCCAAGCCCGACCTGTTGCTCTGCTGCAGTGGTCTTAGATTAGCATCAGTGCACAGAAAGCCAAACAAAATTGCCCGAGGAGTTTTCAGTGCAGCAGTTAAGAGAAAAATGGCATTTAAAAAAATTAAAAGACTAGTGTGTGAAGCCTGCTTTAAAACTGTGTTTTCCAGCTCAAGCCTGAACTGAATTCCTGAGTAATGTAGACTTTTCACACTAAAATACTGTGCAATGCAGAGGAGTCACCAGCAATGTGATGCTTTTAGATGTTGTCAAGATCAGTTAAACACACATTAAAGAATGTCTCATGTCAGATGTGTGTAATCTCCCTGACTACTCAGTAAATTGAAAAGACTGTGTGATTCATGTTAGGATTAAAAAAATTGCTATATTTGAGTAAGTGAGCCTCAGATTTCTTGAAACTGAGGTTCTTTGGTTTTGAACTGTGTAAGAGATAGTGGCAATACATTTTTGAAGGAGCTGTTTACTGAAGTGGCTCAGGAGTTAAGCTGTTACTGTAAAATTTCTCTCCTGCCTACTAGCTGATATTGTCATTCCATTTTCAAGGTCATGGTAAAGGTAGTCAGTTATGATTCTTCTCAAAGAGTTTTGGCAGGAGATAAATATCTGCCTGTGATCTTTTATAGGATATTAATAGGTGAGACACTTCTCCACCTGACAGCGAGCTGTCAATCAGAACCTGTCAATTTGAGTTGCAAAGGAGAGAATGATGTAGTGCCCTTCCATATCAATCATTGATTCAATGACTCTTCATGAAAGTTGTATCTTTGTGTCAGTTCCATTTTTTTTATCTCTTGAAAATAACATTTATAATGAAGTCTTTTGATACTTTTAGCTATACAGTATACATTTAGAAGTATTCGCTATCTCTGTGACATTAGAACACAGCAGCCTGCATGAAAAGTAAATTGTACCTATGCCATTATAAATATAAAGTAATTTTTTGTGATGTTTTACCCCCGAATTTGTATATTGCTGTCAATTCAGTGAACTGTGTTTAAGGAAAAAGCCGAAGATAATCCTATGCAGTCATGAATACAAGTTGTAAAACAAAAATCATCTGCCTTGCAGAAATGTTCTTAAATGAAAGGTCAATGTTACATTAATGTACACATTAAATACTGAACTCATAAGTATACATCTTTCTTTACTTGAAGTGCTGATATTTTCAGTCTTATTGACTCAGAAGTCTCATGATAGTTTTTGCCTAGTAATGAAAGGTTCTCACATGTATGACCACTCAAATAGCAACAAACCCTACTTTGTGGGAGGTATATCTTTTATGAAATATATTGTCTTTATTTTTTTTTAATCTATACTTTATAATACTAGAATACTGTGCAAATATTTTAAGGGAATCCAAATAATTTTGGTTCGATTTTTCACCTGAAATACGTTGTACTTTATTTTGTCACTTTTTAAAAAATAAGAAACTTTATATGAAGAAAACGTCTCAGTCAGAAACACATTTATCAAAAGAGTAATCTGGATAAAATATTCTCATTTTGTGTTTCTGTACTGCTGTACATGCCAGTAAAAAAGAAAACTCTAACCATGCAACTTGTGTGAAAACAGATCCAACCAAGGAGAGAGGAAAAATGAATCATAAATATGCTAGATTAGACCTAGTTATTTTTCCTTAAGAATGCTGGTGTTGATGTGAATCACAGATATTATCCACCACAGATTGGCAAGGAAAAATATGGTAAATAAACCCCAAAATATTCTGAAATCAGCTGTGCGCTTTAAGGTGAGATCCAGACAAGTTTTCTGGGTAGTGCTTTTGTGATTCAACTGGTATTTACAATATGTATAATGTACTACAAATGCTATTGGAGCATATAGCAGTAAATTTGGCTAGTACTGCACAATTTTAACTAAACTTCTATAAATAATGCATAAGGAAAAGTTCTTACTTGAGCTGTGCTTTCACAGCCTGCTGGAAATGATCATAAATACCGTGTTGACAGATCACATGAACAGCAGAATTTACAGTGTCTATTTATTGCACTCTATTTTGTATCAGTTCAGGAAACAGGCTGAAGACGATAGAGACTGTTCACTACTGTGAGAGGAAAAATCTTTATATTAGTATGTATTTTGAGATTATTTATTCTTTGGTACAACATACTCATAGTGTTATGCACTGATCACATGGATACACACACAGAACGTTAAACAGTGGCAACAGATTTGGTCGTATACATTAGTCCCTGACAAAGAAGGAGCAAAAGTACTAGTATACTTGATTTAATGTAGTTAATGATATTATGGAATGTTTGGACCTTGTCCTCATAATAATCTAGTTGATTAGCTTCCATATGACCTTGTGTTTCACATATATATGTAGCTCTGAAGGTATGTTTCTGAACAATTGTATTCAGGCTTTAAAATAGGTACTTGTAAAATGAAGAGAGGTGCTTGCAGACAGAAACTGCTAGGTTCCTGGCTTTCAACAAGTCCCTCTTTCAATATATATACCAAACAGTAATTAGTTAGATTTTGTCATTTATTTTTCTTTTCATCTGAATATACAGTTAAGAATATAATTTTTACTCTTTGTGTGCATTCAGGATTACCCTGTAATCAGTTACAGTATTCTTTCTCCTTTTGGGGGGTTTTAGTTTGGTTTGGTTTTGAGCTCTACTGTAGAACAACTTTTTTTGTAGAAATTTTGTTATAATATGTAATAGGGGTTTGGGGTTTTGTTTTCTTCTTTCTTTTCAGGAACAAAGATGCACCATTTCTTCTTGTCCTGTCTTATCTTCACGTCCATACTGCTCTATATGCTTCAAAAAATTTCAAAGGAAAGAGCAAACATGGTTTATATGGAGATGCAGTGGAGGAAATGGACTGGAGTGTAGGTATGTTACACGTGGTTCTAACAACAACGAAGGGAATACATGCCAGACTTAAATTCACATCCACCAAACACAGACTTCTACAATTTGAATATATCTGTATGTATATGGATATATCTGATACAGTGTATCTGACATACTTGTCATTTCTACTTAGGAGAAAGAAACAGTGATTTAAAAGGCACAATAATATGACCTCTTGTAATATCTACTTCATCACCAAATTTATTGTGCCCTACAAATCCTTGCTGCCTTCTCTGACTATGAAGGTATTCTATACAGTATGGACTTAGCAGAGTTATGAACACCGTAACTGTGGACATTTGAAGTGGAGTAGTTAAATCCAATTTCATAAGATTCTGTTTACCATCTGGCCCATGAAGGCTGTCCTAATAAAACAATATCCTAATGCAAAAAGTGACCACATGCTATTTATACCAAAATATTTTCAAATAAAGTGACTAAAATGTGCACTGTTGGCAAAAATAATTTGCTAATTATTTTAGTGAGTTGTCTGAAGTAGTGAAATCACGCAGGTGAAGACCGCTTCTGTTTATGAAAAACAGTCAAAACCAAACAATTTTCCCTTCAGAGCGTACCATTCTCTCTGAGGCTGGAGCACAGTTGATCATTACATCTTTCAACAGGCTTCCTGTATCTCTAGATGTATTGAAGTGACCCTCTGATTCCAGAGGTAATCACCTGTGAAAACAACAAGCGGTTCATATTTGAAAATCATATTGGAGAATAGCAGTAAAAGGAGCTAAAGATGAGCTTCCTGTATACCCCCAGTCAATTCAGTTCTTACTACAACTCAGTGCAAATTGCCTTTCCTCAGGAAATTGTTGCTGCCTTATTAAGTTGCTATAAAGAGGTATTCAGCTTTGGTGCATACTACATAAGCCTGTGCACTTAAGCATCGTGTGTATATCTTTGCGTATTTTAGATCAAGAAGTGTAGTTGCAGAAGCCACAGGACAAAATGCAGCACAGCACTTTCAGTGATTTTTAATGTTTATAATGCAGTATTTGCAAAAATGGGGAAAATGCTTGTAGGAAGCTGTGATACACTTAGCAATGGTTGTCAGTGTAGGAGAAGAGAAGACTGAGGGGGAAATCGTATCAATACTTATAGATACTTAAAGGCTGGATGTCAAGAGGATGGGGGCAGCCTTTTTTCAGTGGTGCCCAGTGACAGGACGAAGTAAAAGGCATAATCTTCGACATAGGAAGTTCCATCTAAACATGTGGAGGAACTTCTCTGCTTTGAGGATGGCAGAGCACTGGCACAGGCTGCCCAGAGAGGTAGTGGAATCTCTGTCTCTGGAGATATTCAGAACCCATCTGGGTGCCATCCTCTGCAACCTGCTCTAGGTGAACCTGCTCTGGCACGGGGGGTTGACTAAATGATCTCCAGAGGTCGCTTCCAACCCCTAAGATTCTGTGATTCTGTGACATAACAGGAAAAAAAGTCTTTTGTAAAACGAGTTTTGTAAAGAGAGAGTGGGTTTCTTTCCAGCAGTGGGTTTCTTTACATCGTGAATCTTTTTCGTTTGTCAATGGCTACCAGCATATGGTCCATCCAGTGCTTGCATTAGATAAAAATATGCATGTGTTGTTATTTTTTTGTGTGCAATGTTTGCATCCACATTGTAGTAAGCTACTGAGCTTTAGCTGGTCTTACTGTCAGTGTTTGATTTTGCTATTTCTATTTCTGTGTGATAATATTTAGCTTATTCCAGACTAATTGGCCATTTGCTGCTGCCATTATGTTTTGCTGCTGCCTCCAGAAGAGCAGCTCCAGGGTTTAAGCAGCGAGTTTGAAACCAAGGCAGCTGACATGCTGCTGTTTCAAGCTATTTAATGATGCAGAGGTGGTAACAGATTGAAAACCACTGCTCTCTTCCAGAATGACCAAAGGCTCTTAGGAGATGTGTCAAACAAACCCAGCTGTAGGACAGAAGCATATTATTAAAAAAGCTTTGGATAAATCAGAGATAAAAATTTAGTCATGCTTATATAAGGGTTTCAAACAAACTCAAAGGAAATACATGAGTTTTCTCATGTATTGTCCATTGAATTTCATTACAGGAACATCAAGGGTAGTGGACCTAGCTTAATCAGGAAACAGATCCCTGTCTGGCATTTGCTAGTACACAAGCATCAACTTTTGGTTCTGCTGGGGTCTGCTTACTTGGATTTGCTTATATTTTGTAAGACTATTGACAGATGGCATATTTCCTTCAGGAAGTAGAAAATATGTTTAATTCCTCTGCTGCTTCCTCCTCCATTATTAGAATAGCTGGAATTTCCAAGAGGATCTGAAGGAATAATATAGCTTTTTTTTTTTCCATTTTCTCTCTTTTTTCTTTTTTATTAAAGGGAGTACTTATTTCCATTAACCTCCACTGAAAATTCCAGTCTTAATGCATTGACTATAGAAGAAAAAGGAGATTTATTCACTATACTGCCAATGTCAGTAACCAGTATTTTCTTGGAATGCCACTGAAGACATTAGACTAGAAAAGTCAAACCAAATTGTCTGTAAAAGCTGAAAAAGCAAAAACTATAAGCTTTCCACAAAGGAGGTTTTATCATTCACTAGACAGAAATTACTATTTATGCCTAGATTAATGTAACTTGCAAAAGCAGTAAGAACAAAATAGCCCAGAAATAACAATATGCTGCAAAATGTTCTAATTAAAGACAACACAACTATAGAAAGAAAAAAAGGGATGTATGGAAAACTGCTTTATAGTATAATATCAGAAATGTTTGGCATCTGGAAGAAAATGAGACACAAGTTTTAACTCAATTCTTAAAGAGACTGTGTTATCTGCTGACTGGGAAATGCTGTGGAAAATCCTTGTGGTTGAGTAAAAAAAGTAGAAGAGAAGTTAAAAGTAAAAATTAGGGCTGTCAGATACCAATGAAAAAGTTTTATTAAGATTGGACCATGAAATGCAAATTAAATATTTTCCTGATTTGATAAATCAACTGGGGTCAGAAAAAAAGATTGCCATTTGCAAGAGAAAAAGCAACGGCCTTTTTAGACAGAAGTCCACTCAGACTGAGAATTCTAAATAAAAGACAATTCTATTTTAATTTGTTTATTTATTGAGAATCAGTTACCTAATTGGACAATAATTCAATTATAAGGCAATCTCCATGCTAGGAGAAGAAAAAACTATAAGACAGATGAATAAAATACTCCTTTGAAATTTCATGTTTGTGACTTGTTAAACCAATACTGAAGAGTATGATTAAAATCCATGTAAAAATACAAAATACAAAGTCTCTGCATAAGCTTTGGGACCATGTACGTCTACGGCTTTTGCATACTGATATGTGTATAACAGAAATAAAAAAAAGCATTCACAGCTATAATGTCACTGCATGTGACATGCCTTAGAGAGTTGTTCTCTGGCTAATAACATTAATTTTCTTTCAATGTAGGCTAAGCACCTTATTAATGCTATTAATTATAATTCATATGAGAGCAGATGAAATAATATTAGGGTCTAAAAATGGAGAAAAGAAATGACGAATGAACACAATATTATCCTTTTCTTCCTTCCTTCCTTCTTCCCCTCCTTCATTCTTTCATTCCTGATTGGTTATGAGAAGAGAAATGGATATGTTCAGAAATTGTTTTTGATGTAAATTGCATTACACTAATTTAATCCAAAACAGATCACTGCAAAGAGTTTTGGAGCCCCCTGTAGACTTGAATGCAAGCTGTGTGAAGGCACGCTAATTCAACACCGCTTTTGCAAATGACTATTTATTGTTTTGTTAACAGTAGCAAAACTACATATCAGTTCTTAATAATTTGTGTAACAATCACAACTGAATGGCTTAAGTGTAAAAGTCTCATAAATTGTAGTTTGGCACAAAGGCTTTGTCTGGATATCTTTATTATGTGAATGCCCCTCAAGCTGGGAAAATAAACCCCTAACTCCCTCTCTTCTGTGTTCTTCTAACCTGAGGATCAAGTAATGTCAAGAAAGTATTATCATCATCTAATGTTAGTTAATTAGAGGCAAAGGATTGGAAGTAAATCCCAGTGCACCTTACATGTAATTTGTGTGTATAATATCTTAAGAGGTTTGGTTGAGTTACATATGAAGAGAGTGACTCTGTATCCCTCTGGTGTTAAAGGGATATGAAGCTGCTGGACAGTGTCTAGGAAAAGGTCATGAAGATCATTAATGGACTGGAGCATCTCTCCTGTGAGGAAAGGCTGGGAGAGATGGGACTAGAGCTCTGTTACACCTGGAGAAAGACTGAGGGACATTCTTACAGGCCAAGCTTTTCTCATTGGTACCCAATGACAAGAAACAATGGCCACAACGGGAAACAGAGATTGCTTCTGAATATCAAGGAAAAGAGTTTTTACTTTGGGGATAATCGAACGTTGCCACAGATTGCCCAGAGAGGTGGCAGAGTCTCCCTTCCTGGAGATATTCAAAAGCCATCTGAACATAATCCTGGGCTCCAGGTGGCTCTGCCTGAGCAACACGGTTTGGACAAGGTGACTTCTAGAAGTTCCTTCCAACCTCAGCCATTCTGTGATCCTGTGAGATGGTGAAGAAACAAAAAAATTATTCACTAAAGTCAATATGTATTTTGAAATCAAGCCAGACATAACCTTTAAAAGTAAGTCTAGAGAAACTAAGGAACTCTTAACTGAAGCAAACAGAAGCAAGATACTCTCATTATACTCTTCTCCTCCACTCCACTCCTGTGAGACCTGGGTACTGCATTCAGCTCTGGAGCCTCTAGGACAAGAAAGATGTGGACCTGTTAGAGCAGGTGCAGAGAAGGGCCACAAAAGAGTTCAGAGGTCCGGAACCTCTCCTGTGAAGACAGGCTGAAAGAGTTGTGTTTTTTTCAGCCTGGAGAAGAAACGTCTCTGGGGAGACCTTATTGTAGCCTGTCAGTATATAAAAGGGACTTCTAAGGAAGATGGAGAGAGACTTGTTACCCAGGTCTGTAGCGACA